AGGTTATGATGATTTTTAAGAACATTCTTTTCAGAAATTCAAATTCGGTTAGGTTAGTTTTCTTAGGTTAGAAAAAAATAAGAAAATAGGAGGTAAGAATATTTTGTGGATCTGGTTTTATATGATATTTGTGATATAAGTTAAACATTTTATGCATGTAAGCGTGCGTGTACTGAGCACTGGAGTAATTCTGCATTGGAGATGCTTGTGCGGAATGAGAAGAATTTGTGTGTGTGTGTGTGTGTGTCGCCCGTGCAAGCCTGTAATTACTGTCCTAATCACTTGCTCCTTCCACACCTAAAAACACACTCAAACACACATAACACACAAAGGTTAATTATAGCGCTTGTTCAGACCCTTACTGACAATAAACGCATCCCCCCAAAATAGTCTAAATGCATTTAAAGCACTCAAATCTGGATCAAGACATAATGAGGATGTTTTCAGAGCAGTATACTACTGTTGCCGTCCACCAGAAGTAATATCATCCACAACACCTTGTTTGCTTGTATATTTGATTGGACTGTCAACATAAAAGTTTTAAACATGGAATATTACATTTCTGAGATAAATGGATGTTACTCACTGAATTGAACATGCAACATCTTGAGGCCATGTGACAACAATGTAGCAAACTAAACTAAACTTTACTGTGCAGTACTATAGGCAATGCGCACTGTGAAAAACAGTGTGTAGATTTGTGTTTGCATCGTTTATACAATTTTAAGATTTTTAGAACAATGGCAGCTTGTTTAGTGCTTTCTATTCATAGTGATGAGAGTAAATACTCTTAAAATAGTGCATTTTTACAGTTTATAAAATTTTATTCTGCTAACTAACACTGGGAGATGTGGATATAAAGGTGGATTTTCATAAAGTGTTACAATGCTGGTCACATTGTCTCATTTGCCATTTACTATTCAATTACATTCTTGTTAAACTAAAGTATGAGGTATGACCTGCTCGGAGCTGCGGAAACCTCCAGTAAGCATCCTGCAGAAGCATTCAATTGTTTTCCATTCTGAAGATTTCTCACTCAGAAAATGTGCTAAAAGTGCACAGACTGTCTATGTGGCGTAGATGGAGCAGTATTTGTATAGTAACAGCAGGAATAGCTCTTGAGAACATGTGGAATGCAGAGCGTGTTTTTGGGAGTGTGGTTTAGATGACTGATGCAACCACCACTTGAAGTGCCTTTTCTGGGCAGTAATGGCTATTCCTCTCTTTAAGTAAACTGACATGGAAGATGAGGTTAGCTGGTTATGGTGAGTTTTTGTCAGAGGGTCGTTGGTGTGTACACGGAGACAAATTGAGCTTTACGCAAATGGAGCGGGAACTCTGAGGGGAGACTAATGCTACATTTAGACCTGGAAGCAGAGGTGTATCTCGAACACGTCCAGCTTATAGGTCATATTTCATAAAGTGTTCTGCTGGTCAGAAGCATTCAGTTCAACAGCTATCATTGATTTCAGTAAAAGCTTTTTGAATGAATCTCACGAAAACAGGCCCAGGTCAGATTTCACTCTAAAACAGAGAAAAAAAAAGAAAAAAAAAATATATATATATATATATA